AACATCAGTTGCACAAGGACAGAAAAGTGATATGCTGGACAGGAACAAAAATGGAATCAAGTGGAGATTGGAATGGAATCAATATTAGAACAGGAAATTGAGTATCATTACATGTTTTTGTCCAAACCAAACAAAACTAAACAGAAACAAACATAAATTGAACCAAATAAAAGAAATATAATCGAATCAAACAAACACATTACAGGTTGATTTTTTGTCTCAAAACATGACATTTTTGCCCAATACATGAGACTCTTGCCCAAATCAAACAAACAGAACCAAATTAAACAAATACAAGAAAGATAACCAAAAGGTAATTACTTTATGTGATATTAAGTAAATCAAAAAAATGTTTGTGTAATATTAAAAAAATGTTTGTTTATTAAAAATTTAAAAATAAAGCAATTAAATTAAATTAGAAAAAGAAAGAAAAAATGGAGTGCTAGGAGTGTTACCATTTCCTACCAAATGTTAAAATTAAGTGTTAAATGGATAAAAATGAGGTGTCACTCAAAAAGTTGAGATAACAAGGTGTTAAGAGTGTTACCACTCCCTTAGCCTTACAATTTACAACCATCGCTGATCGAATCTCAAAACCATGGCTATTCTCGTCGTCGTTTCTCATAGTTCGCAGCTTGCTCCCTGATTACCCATGCCCCTTCCCAAAGCCCTCCATCTACCTTCCCACGCTTGTCGATTCCAAAGTGCAGATACCGCAACCAAATCATCTTAATCCCTTATTATCATACAAATTCGCTTTCATCTATCAGAAGATTAATATCAAATCACTTGAATTGCTCAAAATCACAAAATATTTATCGATTTAAAAACATTGGTGAATTTTCATCGGTGTGAATCAGTTCTATAGTAGAATTTTAGCGTATGAAGTGTTCAAAATCGTTTAAGTGGATATCGATTAGAAGGTATGTATTGGTTTCTTTCCTTGTTTGATGAAATGTCTGAATGTTATTATTATTATTATTATTATTATTATTATTATTATTATTTTCAATTTAACTTACACTTTCAGTTGAACTAAATTGGATTGTTATTATAGCTAATTAATCTCTTATGATGTCTAAGCAAATTTTTTTGCTCAACATCACATATTTAAAAAATGTGATGCCTATCAATGTGGGGAACCCCTTTTATAGATCTATGGAGGATTCATGAAACTATGGGCGGTATTTTGGTGCTCCCATTAGACATGGAAGAAAGATTGAGATGAAGAAGATTTTATACTTGCATTAATTAGTATCTATATGTTCTTGCAAGGATTTTCGGATCATATTTAGAGTCTATCAAAATAAGATGACATATAGCACTTATACATTGTATTTTTCAAGTAAATAATAATGTAAGAAATAGACCCTGATTACTAACATGCTGGAGATTAGGCGTACGACAACTCACAAGAGGCTTGTGCATTAATGAAGCTAAACCTTGCTTAGTGCATTAATGGCTATGATAATTTTCTGTTTATTTGGCAATTTTGATGGTGATTCTTTTGAATTATGAACTCTACAACTCATGGTCACAATCTAAACCTATGCAGTTTGCAATATTCTAATATTATCTAAGTTGATTATAAAGAATCACTTCAACACAATATGGCATAACAAGGGGTTTAACACTAATTGCTTTTATGTATCACAAAAACTAGGGGTGAGCATATTAACCGAAAAACCGAACCATAACCAAATTAACCAATATAACTGAACCATTACTAAAAGTTATGGTGCGGTTTCTAATTTTGATTAACCGAATACATATGGTTCGGTTATGGTTTTCATCTAAAACCGAACCACTATTAACCGAACCGAACCGAACCAATAATATTAATAAATACTTTTAATATAATATAATATTAAATACTCCCCCCCCCCACCCATCCCATATTTATTGTCCACTTTTGACTTTTAAAGTTTTTATTTTTCAAAGTCAATCTTAAATATATTTCTTTTTAATATATAATACTTGATGCAAAATATATTATTGAATTGTGTTTTAAATGTCTTTTCACTTTTATAATTTTTATCAAGTAATTTATAACATAAATAAAAATATTTAAGGTCAAGGTTGAAGAATATATACTTTAAAAGTCAAAGTGAACAATAAATATAGGACGTAAAGAGTATATTATATGCAATTATATGAAGAATTAAAAATTTAAAGGGTACTTATTTAGAATTATATATGATAAGTAATCTTCTATCAATACAATTATATATACATAATCATTCACTTTTTATAACAATGGACTTTATGTTTTTCAATTTTTATAGAAAAGTATTTTTAATTTTATGTCATCTTGAACCATTATGGTTAACCAATATTAACCATTAACCATAACCATTAACCGACTAAAACCGTTATCCAAAACCATTATTAACCGCTACCCAATGGCTATTGAAATACATTAACCAATTATAATTGTTACGGTTCGGTTTTGACCAATAACCGAACCAAACCGCCCCATACACACCCCTAACAAAAACAATCATGTTTGACCTATGATAAATCAAGTTGAAAAAAGTGAGTAAATAGAGATGAAAGTTACTCTGTTTGCTTTTCTAGTTGCACATCTTCCATTCCAATTAACAAGAATAATGCGACCCCATGAAGAGGAAGGCTTGGGCGGATCTACAAGCATCACATGTAATTATGGAAGGGATAATTATCTTTTCTTATTGTTTTCCTAGTTTGGAAATTATCTTTTATTTATTTGGTAAGTAGGGGTTGAGTCCAGTTAGGTTTTTTGGTTCCTACAAAACTATTTAATAAAGTCTATTATTCCATTTTATGATCATGAATGAATTTTATTATTGAGTAAACCTCGATATTAGAGAACTCCTGTTTCGAAGCATAGGTCCTCAGCCAAATGTGAGTAAACAAATTTAAAACACTAATTTAGCATTTCCTCACAAACCTGAAAAAACAAAAAGTGTTTTCCTCAAATAAACAAAAGTGATCAAAAAAACTTTTTCATGTCTTTTGTGTTCTGAAAACTAAACAGTCTTTTCCTCAAATTTGTTCCACTCACATACATAAGAGGTCAAAAAGACTTTTTACCCAAAAAAACAAACACAACCTAAATGAAATTAGCAATTGAACAAAATTAACTCTAATTTAGCAAGCTACAATTAACTCTTATTTTGAAATTATAAACAAGCATAACCTATTGACTTCCACATTTTCTCGATACGCCCAACTTGCAATACTCACAAAATGAACAAGGACCAATACGAAAGAAATTTTGAAAAGTTAAAAGTTATATAAACAAAGCCAAATAAATTGATTTACACATTTCATAGATATTTGACAAATCAAAATTTTCAAGTATGTGTTTTCGAGGGACAAATTTCGATTCTCTTAATTTGAAGAATATAATATGCTAGACAAAATTAAAAGTCAAATGAATATAGAACCTGAGAAAGAGCTACTGTACTCCAAAAATACAGAATGGGCATCATGAAAAGGCAAGTTACGGTTTTGCTCCAATCAACCTACAAGTATATGTTTTTGTGTGAATTGCAATACCAATAGATACAGGATTAGGCATGATCGATTCCATCTCCATTCTCCTTGTCTTCTGTGTTGTTTAGAAAGTGCTGTGATTTTGTTTTTCCCAAATTGCCTTCACAGTTGCGCCCTTCTTTGTAAGCCTTACTACTGGTGACATCATATCTTCACTGCCTCATCCCTTAGATTTTGGTCAGTATTATACTTATTTTGTTGGAGTTACATATGTTGGATAGAAGATGGCAGTCACATCCTATTTTGGTCAAGATCAAAGTCAGTTAAAATCAGGCAAAATCTGTCAAAAAGTCAAATATATCAAAAAATTCAAAATAAGTGAACAGTAAGTCAAAAGTAATCAGAATATAATACCTAATGTGAACTTTATTACTCTATTTGTTCTTCTCTCCTCCTGCTATTCGTCTCTCTATCTCAGTCTCTCCCTCTGGATAAGCTTTTATCTTTTCTCTTCCCTCTCGCATCCATATCTCATTCTCTCCCTCATTGTACTGTTGTTAAACACCAGAATATGACTTTTTATGGTTATTTACTTATTTGCTCCCTGATTAATCTCCACCTAGTACCATTAGTCTCTAGACCCTTGTTGGTCCAATGAATACCATCAAGCCAACTTTACAAACTTGGTTATGTCATATGATGTTCAAATGAAATTAACGAAGACATTTTATTTATGAAAACCATGTAACTTCTAGTTAAACTAATTAGTAAGTTGGTGTGTAAATGTTCCAGGCTGTTAAAAGTTGCTTTGACATTCAATCCTTGTTTTTGTATATGAACGAGTTAGGTAGCGTAGGGCGTATATAGCATCAAAAAAAAAATTATTATGACTTGCCTACAATCTTTGGCAACCCTCTTGAATTTGAGTTTTATTGTATGGAGTTTGGTGGAAGGTTAAAGTATTATGCCAATGTAGGAGACTAGAAGATGGATGAAAAAATAATTGTTAAATTGAACCTGGAGTTTATGGCCAAAGTAAATATAAAAAAGAGAACACTTTTCAAGTATTTTAAATTTACCTTTACTTTGTTTTTTGAAATTAAGTCAGGGTAACTAATTCCACATACTTTGAGATTTTTCAAAGTTCTATTGGTGTTTGTATTTGAGTTTTCATCTATTTCAGGTAAACAGTAGAAAATAATTTATTGATGTAATTAATTTACCAATGTTATTTTCGCTACTTTGTACATTTATTGGAAATCCAAGTGATGGGAAAACTTGTTAAATTTCACCTGAAGAGTATTCAACAACAGATTTGTCCTAGACTACAACTAGATTTTCCAGAAGTGAAGCTTGTAAAAGGATATCAATCTTCACTAACTTATATTTTTTATCTACTACATAATGATTTAAGAAAACATATGAGAAGTTTCATCATAAAAAAGGCATTTAAATAAAAACATATTATCAGGATGCATACAGGGAACATGACAAAAGAAAAGAACTTTGAATGTAGGTTAATATCAGGCCTTGGTCAACAGATTTGAAACATGGTGCATTGTTGGCCTTTCGTGTGGATTGGAGTTTAAACATACTCTTGAGAGATTCAGTACTAAATTAACTTGTTTCTCAACTTGTGGTGAGGGAAGTGGAATCCGACTATCTCCAACATTTACCAACACCAGATAATCAGCAGGCAATGTTGGTAGTTCACCAGGATGCTTTCCCATGATCACTTCTAGTACAACAATCCCAAAGCTATACACATCACATTTCTCGGTTGCCACCATCGTATAAGCAAGCTCTATATCCAAAGAAACATAAAATAAAAACAAAAAAAAAAACTATATTAACCTCACAAGATTCTAACATAAATACATATATGTACGTATACATATTTATATATGTCATGAAATTTAAGAAGATGTAGAACCAGAATCACAAAATTACTTTACCTGGCGCGATATAGCCGTAGGTACCTACGATTGTGGTCCAGTTGGATGAGTCTAGCTTTAAAAGCTTGGATGTACCAAAATCAGAAATATGTGCCTCATAATCAGAATCAAGAAGGATGTTGCCAATGGAAATGTCTCTATGAATTATAGGAGGTGAGCAGTCGTGATGCATATAAGCTAAACCATTAGCAACAGCCTTTACAATATTGACCCTTTTCAACCAATCCAATTTTTTGCTAAGACATCGCTCCTTAAGATTGATCCAAGGCTTCCCTTTTCAAGGTATTCATAAATCAAAAATGAGTGGCGGGCATGTGAGCAATATCCATAGAGTTTCACTATGTTTCGATGTCTTATGTTCGTTAATGCTCGTACCTCATTAAGGAATCCATTTTGATCAACATTCTCAGATGATGAGTGAAGTTTGTTAACAGCTAAAACATTGTTAGGCTGTAGCTTGGCTTTGTACACAGTCCCATATCCTCCGGTCCCAATCGAGTATGCTTCATCAAAATTGTTCGTTGCTTTCAAGATTTCATCATACACTACTCCTCCATCGAAACTTGTTATGGAGAAATAATCACCACCTTCTTTGTCCAATGGTTTCTTTGGATAATGTCTCGTTTGTTTTCGATAAGCAATGAGGCCACACATGAACAAACCAAGTAAAATTACCCCAATAAGAGGGAGCATAATTACCAGGATGAGTTGATGATGAAAGGGATCATTTTTCTTCTTATAGATTTGACTTGTACAAAATTTTAGTCCTGTAAAATTACCACACAAACCTGAATTACCATGTAAGCATGCATTTACAAAGTTGGAGCAAAGGGGAACTGGACCTGTGAGCTCATTGTTGGACAGGTCGATGTCAATCCCACTAGGCAAACTTGTAAAAGCGTTTGGAATAGAACCAGATAGTCTATTGTGAGAAAGATTCAACTTTTGTAGATTTTTCAAACTTTGAACTTCAGATGGTATCTCTTCTGCGAGCAAATTCTGAGATAAATCAAGTTCTGTAAGTTGAACCAATTTACCAATTTCAGATGGAATTTTTTCAGTGAGTTTGTTATTACTAAGATTCAAGTAGTGGATATGTTCCCATTGACTAATACTTCTTGGTATTGACCCACTTAATCTGTTTGTGGATAGGTCGAGTATTTCAAGGAGTTCTAAAGATCCGAGCTGTGGAGGTATAATACCTGAAAGTTCGTTATTAGCCAAGGACAAATTCAGCATACTTTTCATCTTCCCAAACTCCTTTGGGATTTCACCAACCAAATGGTTTGAAGAAAGATCAAGCCTTTGTAGTTGAGTTGAATTTCCAAAGTCTGGTGGTATGCTACCACTGATATTGTTATAGGCCATCACTAAGGCTGTCAAATTCTTGCATTTACTCCAGTTTTGAGAAAGTTCCCCATGAAAATTATTGTGACTGATATCAAGGTATTTTAAGTGTGGATAGATGCCAAAGCTGTTGGATATATCTCCAATGAATTGATTTTGATCAAAACGAGCGCTTATTAAGCTAAGGCAATTCTGTAAACCTCTTGAGATAGGTCCAGTGAGTTGATTACTATTTGCTGTGAACCTTTGAAGCTTTCCACCATAGCACAAATCTTCAGGCAAATTGCCAGAAAAATTATTATTCGACAGATCAAGCAAGTCTAGATTTCTCAATCCTTGTGGAATCGAACCAGATAATTTATTACACCAAGGTACAGACTCTGTAGGTTGCTGAGGTTTGCTAGTGATGAAGGAATAGAACCACTAAGTTGATTGTCACTCAGACCAAGATTAGTGAGAGCCTTCAAATTCCCAAGTTGTGTAGGAATGAAACCAGATAATTTATTCTCACCTAGGTACAGAACCTCTAGGTTACTCAAGTTTGCTAGAGATAAAGGAATAGAATCACTAAGTTGATTGTAGCCCATGGAAAGTATACTCATAGACTTCAAGTTCTGAAGTTCAATAGGAATGGGACCAAATAATTTATTCTTAAAAAGATACATATGTTGTAGGTTGCTGAGGTTTGCTAGTGATGAAGGAATAGAACCACTAAGTTGATTGTCATTCAGACCAAGTTTAGTGAGAACCTTCAAATTCCCAAGTTGTGTAGGAATGAGACCAGATAATTTATTCTCAGCTAGGTACAGAACCTCTAGGTTACTCAGGTTTGCTAGAGATAGCGGAATAGAACCAGTAAGTTGATTGTAACTGATGGAAAGTTTATTGAGAGACTTCAAATTCCCAAGTTCAGAAGGAATGGGACCAGATAATTTATTCTTAAAAAGATACATATGTTGTAGGTTGCTGAGGTTTGCTAGTGATGAAGGAATAGAACCACTAAGTTGATTGTCATTCAGACCAAGTTTAGTAAGAGCCTTCAAATTCCCAAGTTTTGTAGGAATGAGACCAGATAGTTTATTCTCAGCTAGGTACAGAACCTCTAGGTTACTCAGGTTTGCTAGAGATAAAGGAATAGAACCACTAAGTTGATTGTAGCTTATGGAAAGTGTATTGAGAGACTTCAAATCCCCAAGTTCAAAAGGAATGGGACCATAGAGTTGATTGTCGTGCAAAGAAAGGACTTTCAAGGATGTTAAACTACCCAATGATGATGGGATTATTCCAAAAAACTTATTCTCTGAAAAGTGAAGGTAGACAAGTTTGGACAAGAGTCGGATTTCTGGTGGAATGGTGCCAAAGAAGTTGTTCGTACCGAGATCAAAATGTGTAAGATTGTGTAGCAAAGAGAATGGAAATTGGTGGAGTGTACCGTGTAAGCCACATGAACTGAGCTTTAGCCTCTGAATGCTCCCATCAGCATTGCAAACTACTCCAAACCAAGAACTGCATGGAAACGATGCACTGGAATTCATAGAGAGGGGAAGCCATGAAGGGAGCAAGGAGATGTTTGGGATTTGAAGGCTTGCTTTCCATTTAAAACACTAATTTAGCATTTCCTCACAAACCTGAAAAAACAAAAAGTGTTTTCCACAAATAAACAAAAGTGATCAAAAAAACTTTTTCATGTCTTTTGTGTTCTGAAAACTAAACAGTCTTTTCCTCAAATTTGTTCCACTCACATACATAAGAGGTCAAAAAGACTTTTTACCCAAAAAAACAAACACAACCTAAATGAATTTAGCAATTGAACAAAATTAACTCTAATTTAGCAAGCTACAATTAACTCTTATTTTGAAATTATAAACAAGCATAACCTATTGACTTCCACATTTTCTCGATACGCCCAACTTGCAATACTCACAAAATGAACAAGGACCAATACGAAAGAAATTTTGAAAAGTTAAAAGTTATATAAACAAAGCCAAATAAATTGATTTACACATTTCATAGATATTTGACAAATCAAAATTTTCAAGTATGTGTTTTCGAGGGACAAATTTCGATTCTCTTAATTTGAAGAATATAATATGCTAGACAAAATTAAAAGTCAAATGAATATAGAACCTGAGAAAGAGCTACTGTACTCCAAAAATACAGAAAGGGCATCATGAAAAGGCAAGTTACGGTTTTGCTCCAATCAACCTACAAGTATATGTTTTTGTGTGAATTGCAATACCAATAGATACAGGATTAGGCATGATCGATTCCATCTCCATTCTCCTTGTCTTCTGTGTTGTTTAGAAAGTGCTGTGATTTTGTTTTTCCCAAATTGCCTTCACAGTTGCGCCCTTCTTTGTAAGCCTTACTACTGGTGACATCATATCTTCACTGCCTCATCCCTTAGATTTTGGTCAGTATTATACTTATTTTGTTGGAGTTACATATGTTGGATAGAAGATGGCAGTCACATCCTATTTTGGTCAAGATCAAAGTCAGTTAAAATCAGGCAAAATCTGTCAAAAAGTCAAATATATCAAAAATTCAAAATAAGTGAACAGTAAGTCAAAAGTAATCAGAATATAATACCTAATGTGAACTTTATTACTCTATTTGTTCTTCTCTCCTCCTGCTATTCGTCTCTCTATCTCAGTCTCTCCCTCTGGATAAGCTTTTATCTTTTCTCTTCCCTCTCGCATCCATATCTCATTCTCTCCCTCATTGTACTGTTGTTAAACACCAGAATATGACTTTTTATGGTTATTTACTTATTTGCTCCCTGATTAATCTCCACCTAGTACCATTAGTCTCTAGACCCTTGTTGGTCCAATGAATACCATCAAGCCAACTTTACAAACTTGGTTATGTCATATGATGTTCAAATGAAATTAACGAAGACATTTTATTTATGAAAACCATGTAACTTCTAGTTAAACTAATTAGTAAGTTGGTGTGTAAATGTTCCAGGCTGTTAAAAGTTGCTTTGACATTCAATCCTTGTTTTTGTATATGAACGAGTTAGGTAGCGTAGGGGGTATATAGCATCAAAAAAAAAAATATTATGACTTGCCTACAATCTTTGGCAACCCTCTTGAATTTGAGTTTTATTGTATGGAGTTTGGTGGAAGGTTAAAGTATTATGCCAATGTAGGAGACTAGAAGATGGATGAAAAAATAATTGTTAAATTGAACCTGGAGTTTATGGCCAAAGTAAATATAAAAAAGAGAACACTTTTCAAGTATTTTAAATTTACCTTTACTTTGTTTTTTGAAATTAAGTCAGGGTAACTAATTCCACATACTTTGAGATTTTTCAAAGTTCTATTGGTGTTTGTATTTGAGTTTTCATCTATTTCAGGTAAACAGTAGAAAATAATTTATTGATGTAATTAATTTACCAATGTTATTTTCGCTACTTTGTACATTTATTGGAAATCCAAGTGATGGGAAAACTTGTTAAATTTCACCTGAAGAGTATTCAACAACAGATTTGTCCTAGACTACTACTAGATTTTCCAGAAGTGAAGCTTGTAAAAGGATATCAATCTTCACTAACTTATTTTTTTTATCTACTACATAATGATTTAAGAAAACATATGAGAAGTTTCATCATAAAAAAGGCATTCAAATAAAAACATATTATCAGGATGCATATAGGGAACATGACAAAAGAAAAGAACTTTGAATGTAGGTTAATATCAGGCCTTGGTCAACAGATTTGAAACATGGTGCATTGTTGGCCTTTCGTGTGGATTGGAGTTTAAACATACTCTTGAGAGATTCAGTACTAAATTAACTTGTTTCTCAACTTGTGGTGAGGGAAGTGGAATCCGACTATCTCCAACATTTACCAACACCAGATAATCAGCAGGCAATGTTGGTAGTTCACCAGGATGCTTTCCCATGATCACTTCTAGTACAACAATCCCAAAGCTATACACATCACATTTCTCGGTTGCCACCATCGTATAAGCAAGCTCTATATCCAAAGAAACATAAAATAAAAACCAAAAAAAAAACTATATTAACCTCACAAGATTCTAACATAAATACATATATGTACGTATACATATTTATATATGTCATGAAATTTAAGAAGATGTAGAACCAGAATCACAAAATTACTTTACCTGGCGCGATATAGCCGTAGGTACCTACGATTGTGGTCCAGTTGGATGAGTCTAGCTTTAAAGCTTGGATGTACCAAAATCAGAAATATGTGCCTCATAATCAGAATCAAGAAGGATGTTGCCAATGGAAATGTCTCTATGAATTATAGGAGGTGAGCAGTCGTGATGCATATAAGCTAAACCATTAGCAACAGCCTTTACAATATTGACCCTTTTCAACCAATCCAATTTTTTTGCTAAGACATCGCTCCTTAAGATTGATCCAAGGCTTCCCTTTTCAAGGTATTCATAAATCAAAAATGAGTGGCGGGCATGTGAGCAATATCCATAGAGTTTCACTATGTTTCGATGTCTTATGTTCGTTAATGCTCGTACCTCATTAAGGAATCCATTTTGATCAACATTCTCAGATGATGAGTGAAGTTTGTTAACAGCTAAAACATTGTTAGGCTGTAGCTTGGCTTTGTACACAGTCCCATATCCTCCGGTCCCAATCGAGTATGCTTCATCAAAATTGTTCGTTGCTTTCAAGATTTCATCATACACTACTCCTCCATCGAAACTTGTTATGGAGAAATAATCACCACCTTCTTTGTCCAATGGTTTCTTTGGATAATGTCTCGTTTGTTTTCGATAAGCAATGAGGCCACACATGAACAAACCAAGTAAAATTACCCCAATAAGAGGGAGCATAATTACCAGGATGAGTTGATGATGAAAGGGATCATTTTTCTTCTTATAGATTTGACTTGTACAAAATTTTAGTCCTGTAAAATTACCACACAAACCTGAATTACCATGTAAGCATGCATTTACAAAGTTGGAGCAAAGGGGAACTGGACCTGTGAGCTCATTGTTGGACAGGTCGATGTCAATCCCACTAGGCAAACTTGTAAAAGCGTTTGGAATAGAACCAGATAGTCTATTGTGAGAAAGATTCAACTTTTGTAGATTTTTCAAACTTTGAACTTCAGATGGTATCTCTTCTGCGAGCAAATTCTGAGATAAATCAAGTTCTGTAAGTTGAACCAATTTACCAATTTCAGATGGAATTTTTTCAGTGAGTTTGTTATTACTAAGATTCAAGTAGTGGATATGTTCCCATTGACTAATACTTCTTGGTATTGACCCACTTAATCTGTTTGTGGATAGGTCGAGTATTTCAAGGAGTTCTAAAGATCCGAGCTGTGGAGGTATAATACCTGAAAGTTCGTTATTAGCCAAGGACAAATTCAGCATACTTTTCATCTTCCCAAACTCCTTTGGGATTTCACCAACCAAATGGTTTGAAGAAAGATCAAGCCTTTGTAGTTGAGTTGAATTTCCAAAGTCTGGTGGTATGCTACCACTGATATTGTTATAGGCCATCACTAAGGCTGTCAAATTCTTGCAGTTACTCCAGTTTTGAGAAAGTTCCCCATGAAAATTATTGTGACTGATATCAAGGTATTTTAAGTGTGGATAGATGCCAAAGCTGTTGGATATATCTCCAATGAATTGATTTTGATCAAAACGAGCGCTTATTAAGCTAAGGCAATTCTGTAAACCTCTTGAGATAGGTCCAGTGAGTTGATTACTATTTGCTGTGAACCTTTGAAGCTTTCCACCATAGCACAAATCTTCAGGCAAATTGCCAGAAAAATTATTATTCGACAGATCAAGCAAGTCTAGATTTCTCAATCCTTGTGGAATCGAACCAGATAATTTATTTACACCAAGGTACAGACTCTGTAGGTTGCTGAGGTTTGCTAGTGATGAAGGAATAGAACCACTAAGTTGATTGTCACTCAGACCAAGATTAGTGAGAGCCTTCAAATTCCCAAGTCGTGTAGGAATGAAACCAGATAATTTATTCTCACCTAGGTACAGAACCTCTAGGTTACTCAAGTTTGCTAGAGATAAAGGAATAGAATCACTAAGTTGATTGTAGCCCATGGAAAGTATACTCATAGACTTCAAGTTCTGAAGTTCAATAGGAATGGGACCAAATAATTTATTCTTAAAAAGATACATATGTTGTAGGTTGCTGAGGTTTGCTAGTGATGAAGGAATAGAACCACTAAGTTGATTGTCATTCAGACCAAGTTTAGTGAGAACCTTCAAATTCCCAAGTTGTGTAGGAATGAGACCAGATAATTTATTCTCAGCTAGGTACAGAACCTCTAGGTTACTCAGGTTTGCTAGAGATAGCGGAATAGAACCAGTAAGTTGATTGTAAATGATGGAAAGTTTATTGAGAGACTTCAAATTCCCAAGTTCAGAAGGAATGGGACCAGATAATTTATTCTTAAAAAGATACATATGTTGTAGGTTGCTGAGGTTTGCTAGTGATGAAGGAATAGAACCACTAAGTTGATTGTCATTCAGACCAAGTTTAGTAAGAGCCTTCAAATTCCCAAGTTTTGTAGGAATGAGACCAGATAGTTTATTCTCAGCTAGGTACAGAACCTCTAGGTTACTCAGGTTTGCTAGAGATAAAGGAATAGAACCACTAAGTTGATTGTAGCTTATGGAAAGTGTATTGAGAGACTTCAAATCCCCAAGTTCAAAAGGAATGGGACCATAGAGTTGATTGTCGTGCAAAGAAAGGACTTTCAAGGATGTTAAACTACCCAATGATGATGGGATTATTCCAAAAAACTTATTCTCTGAAAAGTGAAGGTAGACAAGTTTGGACAAGAGTCGGATTTCTGGTGGAATGGTGCCAAAGAAGTTGTTCGTACCGAGATCAAAATGTGTAAGATTGTGTAGCAAAGAGAATGGAAATTGGTGGAGTGTACCGTGTAAGCCACATGAACTGAGCTTTAGCCTCTGAATGCTCCCATCAGCATTGCAAACTACTCCAAACCAAGAACTGCATGGAAACGATGCACTAGAATTCATAGAGAGGGGAAGCCATGAAGGGAGCAAGGAGATGTTTGGGATTTGAAGGCTTGCTTTCCATTTAAGAAGAGCATTGGCTGTTGGGGTTGAAATACACTTTTATTCAGAACTAGAACAAAAGAGAAGAGCTGACGCGCTCAATATTACAAGAAAAAGAAACAACCCTCTAATACTCACTCTAAGTATTACACACAACACTCTCTGTTTTGTGGTGTCTTACAACTGAGGTTAGAGCCTCTATTTATACTTAAACAAGCCTACAATTACTACTGCTACCATTTATTGTGTTCATTATGTGAACATACGAAGTTGCCATTTGAGTTCTTATTGTCAACAAAGGAGGCATTCATTTGTCAACAAAATAGGGTGGTACAGCTACTCATGGCAGGTTCACACCCAAGTAGGTTTACATTCACATTCTCCCCCTTAAACCTAACTTGGCTCGAGATTCGTCACTCCGATCATGTTTCGCATTTCACCATGTTTCACGTATGCTAAAGCCTTTGTAAAGATGTCCGCCCGTTGATCCTTCGAGTTGACATATTCCACTATAATTTGCCCACGTTCAACACATTCTCGTATGAAGTGATAACGAATGTTAATGTGTTTGCTTCGACCATGAAACACAGGATTTTTCATCAATGCGATTGCTGACTTGTTATCGACATATAAGGTGATAGGCATAATATGATGTCCCGTGAGCTCCTTCACGAGATTAGCAAGCCAAATGGCTTGACATGCTGCTGTTGTAGCTGCCATGAACTCGGCTTCACACGTGGACAAAGCAACAGTCTTTTGCTTTTGGGATTGCCAAGTTATCGCATTCCTTCCCAGATAGAAAATCATTCCACTTGTGCTCTTGCTATCAACAGGGTCACCTCCAAGATCATTATCGGTAAAACCAACCAAATCTTCAATTTCACGACCTCTTCCATAGTTGATTCCATAATCAACGGTTCCTTTTACGTATCGCAAGATGTGTTTCACAACTTGGAAATGCAAAGTGGTTGGTTCCTCCATGAAACGACTTGCAATTCCAACCGAAAATGACAGGTCTGGTCGAGTGTGAGTCAATTACCTTAAACAACCTACCACTCGCCTATATTCAGTTGGATCAACTTTTTCACCATCTTCATCCTTCTTGACCTTCAACTTAGGTTCCATTGGTGATGTTGTCGGATTGCAATCCAGCAACCCAAATTGCTCTAAAATTTTCTTTGCATAAGCCGTTTGTCGCAAAGATATTCCCCACTTCTTTTGCGAAACTTCGATTCCAAGGTAATAAGAAAGTAATCCCAAGTCATTCATTTCGAATTCTTTCTTCATTTGTTCTTTGAATTCGACAACATCATTAGTGTTCGACCCGGTAATGATCAAGTCATCAACATAGACACCAACAATAAGAATTTTGTCTTTTGAGTTCCTTTTGTAAACAGCTGGGTCTTGTGAACTTTTTGTAAAAACCAAGCCTTTTTAAGCTTTTATCCAAACGAATGTTCCAAGCTCGAGGAGCTTGTCGTAGACCATAAAGAGCTTTATGAAGCTTGAACACCTTATGACTGTTTGCTCTATCAACATAACCTTCTGGTTGGGTGACATAAACCTCCTCATTGAGATCTCCATTGAGAAAAGCCGATTTGACATCGAGATGGTGGACAACCCACCCATGTTGAGCTGCTAAGGCAAGAATGAGCCTTACGGTGTCAAGTCGTGCTACCGGTGCAAAAACTTCATCAAAGTCGACTCCTTCCTTTTGTACAAATCCTTTTGCTACAAGTCGAGCTTTATGCTTCACCACTTTTCCCAAGTTGTCTTTCTTCACTTTAAACACCCATTTCAAACCGATTGCTTTGTGTCCGGATGGCAAATCGGTAAGTTGCCATGTCTTGTTCTTCTCGATTGCATCCAACTCTGTTTGCATAGCCTCCTACCATGCCTTAGAGGTTACCGCCTCTTTAAAACTCAAGGGTTGATCCGCTGCAATCATCAACAATTCTCCGGGTTCAAGGAACACATTTTCGGTCTTAGAATAAATATCGGTTAACGGACGCAATCCCCTTGGCCCAATCTCACTAGAAGGGCTTTCCATATGGGGCGAGGTTGAAGAAAGCGGGGCTGAGACAGTAGTATGTGGAGCTGGTTCAGGCTCGTCAAATTCAGCATATGGTTGTCCAACTTGGATAGCATCGATTCCTGGACTGTTTGGTTGTTCCGGATTGATTTCGGGGTCATTTTGAGGTGTTTCGAGGTGTATTTGGGGTTGTGGTTCAATTATGTTAAAGGTCTTAGGAGTCGCCATCTCTTCTTCTTTGTTTTTGTACCAATTCCATTCTTCTTTTTCGTCAAAAACAACATCGCGACTAACTCGCAACTTTCGGTCTTGCGGATCAAACAAACGGTTGCCTTTAGTTCCATCTTCCACACCTAAATACACCAACTTCTTACTTCGATCATCAAGCTTCTTCAAGTGACCACCTACAAGTTTAGCAAAAGCAACACAACCAAAAACTTTTAGATGTTCAAGGTTGGGCTTTTTGCCAAACCACGTTTCATAAGGCGTCTTGTCGGCAAGTACTTTTGTTGGCAGACGGTTGAGAAGATAAACTGCATGTCTAACCGCTTCTCCCCAAAACTCTCCCGGAACATTTCTACCTTTGAGCAGACTTCTTGCCATGTCCATAACGGTCCGATTTCGCCTTTCTACAACTCCGTTCTGTTGAGGCGAATATGGTGTCGTAAGATGCCTTTAATTACCATTTTCTTCACAAAATAATGAGAATTCTTTTGAAGTGAACTCTCCCCCTCGGTCCGTTCGAAGTGTCTTTATTTTATAACCCGAATTCTTTTCAACCATCAACTTGAACCGTTTGAAAGCGCTCAAGGCTTGAGACTTCTCCGATAGCATGTAAACCCACATCCACCGGCTAAAATCGTCTACTAAAAGGAGAAAATATTTACTCCCTCCAACAGACGTAGGTGTGATCGGACCACATAAGTCCGCATGAACAAGTTGTAGAGGTTTTTGAGCCCGAAAAACTGCATGATCCGGGAAAGGAATTCGGGTTTGTTTGGAAAGAACACACCCTTCACATACTTGGTTTGGGTGCTCAATCTTTGGGACTCCGATTGCCATATTCTTTTCGGACAACTTCTTAAAATCGACCCTTTTCCCAAAATAGCGACGGTTGAACCATCCCCAAATTTCACATGGCCCGTAACGTGCTCATCTAGTTCCCGAAACTTTGAGCGGTCTCCCGTCATGTGATTGCTAGCACCGTTGTCGAGATACCATACCTCAGACTCGACTCGACTTTCTCCCGATGCAAGAAGATTAACACAAATCTTCTCTCTTAGAGACACTTTTTTGTGTGCATATTCTTGTGAGGTTGCCATCATTAAAATAGGCTCTTCTTTGTTGGCTTGAGTGAGGTTTGCCTCCTCACCTCGATTCTTGTTTGGACACTCCGAAGCATAATGACCAAATTGTTCACAAGTAAAGCATTTGATTTTACTTTTATCCTTTCGAGAAGGATTATGGTCATTCCGATTTGTATTGCACTCGCGACCACCTCCTTGGCCACGTCCACGACCTCGGCCTCGTCCCCGGCCTCGGTTACCATGTCCTCCTCGTCCTCTTGAAGTGTTTGACGAGTTTCTCTCACCAGTTTGCTTCGAACGAGATGCCCACTCGTCATGTGTAAGTAATAGAGAAGGTCCTTCTTCTTTTTCTCCATAGCTTCGAAGTCTCTCTTCATGGGTCTTAAGACGACCCACAACTTCTTCCACCGTCATATTCTTCAAATCTCCGAATTGCTCGATCGATGTTACGATTTGTATAAATCGTATCGGTACGGCTCGCAAAAACTTCTTCACAACCGTAATTTCTTCAATCTTTTCACCAAGAGATCGAATACCTGTTACGATAGTATTCAATCTCATGGAAAAATCATCTACCGATTCACTGTCTTTCATACGGATCACCTCGAAGTCACTTCTCAAGGTTTGAGCTTTAGCCTCCTTGACCCGATCGGCTCCCATGTGCATCATCTTGA